AATATATCTACCTAAAACTTGCTAGAGTAGGTCATAAGCATGTGTTATATTATACATATTCAGTTTTTTTCGGAAAGTCAAAAACGTTTTGAAAAAAGATAAAAATACGAATTTTGAATTTAAATATATATAATTTTCCAAAATTTTAACATTTTGAATATCCGAGATCGCAGTTTGATAGCGCAGTCCATTCTGAGTCCTCTCATGCAAAGAAATTGGATCTAGCTCAAAAACTGAGCTCTTGAGAGGGATTCCCGTGGTTCAATGTTTTGCGTCGAAATCGGCCGAACATGACGTCACTCTGACGTCATTTTCGGCCGACCTATGATAGATACGAAGTTCAAATTTTGACACAATGTGCCAAATTGATGCAGCCGGAAGTACTGAAAGTTTGGTGGCTATATGTCAAGCAGTTTAGAAGTTATTGCAGAAAAACGGGAGGGGAGGCTATGAATAGCCCCTCCCCCAGTGGGGCGCGGGTTAAGGGGGGAAGGGGAGGGGCACCGCCGACTTTTGGTCCCATTCTTTCCATGCAACGTCCATAGGGCTTATGTTGAAATGCCAAATTCAAAGGGGGGCACGGTGCCCCGGTGCCCTCCCCGTTCCGCCGCCTGTGGTGAGCGGATAATGTGAGGAGACATGAGCCGAATCGCGAATCCGGCCAAACATGGTCTGGAGAAAAAGGTCAAATGTCAAAGGTCATTTAAATCAGGGTCATGACATTTTCAGTGTATGTGTAAAATTGATTAAAGCTCGAGGGTAATGCAAGTTTCGTCGCGATCGGCCGTTTTTTTTCACGATCGGGCGAGAGTTATTCGCGAAAACCGAGGGGGGGATCCATTCGACCCCCCTGAAGATGCGAGGGTTAAACCAATTTCAAAGGTGAGAGAGGCATACCTATGACATTCCTAATTTCATCCACCGGTCTCAGGGTCCAAAACCATTTCTGAGGGTCCCTTGTTTGTCTGAGAATTCCGCACGCCAGTCTGGGATTGACTCAAGAGCTTATAGTCCCCAGTGGGTTCATTGGAACCTCAATGCTTGCTTCCTATAAGGTGCCGAGACTAATGTCTTCGCAGTCGGAAGTACGCACATACATACCTCAGAACTCGAGGCCTAATCAGACCCAAATTGGCCCGTGCCGTGCTGCCATCTACTGAATGGACCTGACGCTCGACAATCAGTTGTAGTTGGCAAGCAGACCGGTAGAGGGCACGCAGGCTCTGTCGTGGCCGAGCGAGGGGGAGAGAGAAGGGGGCAGGGGGAGGGAGAAAGGGGAAAAGAAAGAAAGAGAGAGAGATAGAGAGAGAGAGAGAGAGAGAGAGAGGGAAAAGGAGAGGGCGAGGGAGAGAGAGAGAGAGAGAGAGAGAGAGAGAGAGAGAGAGAGAGAGAGAGAGAGAGAGAGAGAGAGAGAGAGAGAGAGAGAGAGAGAGAGAGAGAGAGAGAGAGAGAGAGAGGCTCCGCGCCACTGTAGTGACGGGAACAGACGGTAAGACGGCAGACGAACGGCAGAAAGACGAACAGAACAGACAGACGGCAGAAAGACGGCCGTATTGCATGGCTCATGAATGTATTTGAGTTGAGTTCAACAGAGCCTTCATATCCCGAGTCTTAACTGTTAAACTATGCTGGACTCACTAGCGGGCCAAGGCCAAGCTGGGAATGGGGAGGGGGGGGGGGGGGCTTAACCATTATAATTTACAGATGTTCGTCTTTTCATTTTACCATGCACTTTGATAAGTGTCATAAAGGTGAAAAATCGAATCACAGTAGCTGGCTGCCAAAGTAATGTCCGTCACGGCTACCGATGGCCGACAGTGGATTGAATCCCCGTGACGCACTCGAGAATTGTGCTTCGTATACCTACTGAAACAAATTTAGGGCATAGACAAAACATTGCAATAAGACACGGGGTGGAGCTTCCTATATAGTTGGTGGGGCGGCTGCCCCACCAACTTGGTATTTTGCCCCACCAATAAGTGTTTTGCCCCACCAACTTCAGCTGATTTCTAAGACTTAGTTGCCTTACAAATTAATATTTTTCGCATTGAAGAGCTTTGGAATGTCTGTTTAATGCAAAATATTATATCTGTAATGATAGGCATTGATTCAGTGTGGCATTTTATTCAGCTTCATAATCAGACATAGTGGGTTTGACGACTTTTTGCCCCACCAACTTCCCTTGAAAAACTCCACCCATAACCAGACGTTGTCATTTTGGAATGGGCCTATGAATAGTGCTTGGCCTATCCACCTGTGTGCGTATAATGAAGATATATCTTCGAACCCGAACTTTCATCCCTGACTCTCGATCTTCACGAGACTGAGAGGTGGTAATGAGATGTAAGCCCTAGAGATATAAGAGATGTTATGTAGCAGCGGCCACAAAGACTGTGGATAGGCGATCCACTGTGGATCGCCTTAATAGTATATGTCTATGGTTATTCCAAACCAGCCAATAACAAGCGTGCCCATCCAGGTACAGCGGTATGTATTGTTTACTTATTACCCTCCAGGTAGACTGTGCCGCCTAGCACAGAGGCGTCGCGGCACAGTCTACCCTCCAGGCACGACGACAAACGCTCAGTGATCGGCCCGAATAGGCGGAGACTGCAGTGCTGGTGTTAGCTGCATCGCTGGGTAGGTAGGCTGCGCCGCAATACACGAATGCGGCCGGTGCAGTCTACCTGTACAAGTGGTGAGGGCGAGCGAAATGTCAACCGTGGACACTGGATAGTGGACACTGGAAGTGGACAGTGCAAGTGTCCACCGTTTACTGTCCAGTGTCCATTCGTAGTTATCCAATGTCCAGGTCATTGTCCGTATGCAAGGTGTGTCACGTGTGTAGGTTTGGTTCCGCTTGGATGGAAAAAACATATAAATACTCGTACCTATATCACAAGAAAATAAATGCGCATCATTTGTGTATGAAAATGGCACATCTTCTGTCTTCTGCCTTCAATAAGCTCTCCCTATCAATAAATGTCACGTCAACGGCTGTGCAACTTTGGTCCGCTTCAGAAAAAAAACAAATCCGCGGGAATCAATTATGGCGTGTTACTTACAGCGCCTCTGACCGAGGCGCTGCATTACTTTGACCGAGCTTAGTCCTGACCACTTAGTCCTGTCATTGACCATGCGCCCGAACACTGTCCTGTACATCAGTCACCAGCCGAGAAGTGGACACAATCTTTTTGGGGGGCTACATGTGATTTGTAACTTATCTGTACACGCGAACAATTTGGAATCCCACGGCGACTTCCTTTTGAGCATATTTATGACACAGATTAGGGATGGGAGCAAAAAATAAGCAAATAAAAAATATACAGCTAATTAAATTATAATAATCTTAAAATTCAAAATGTAGAAGAAGTACCTATTACAAACAAGATATCATGCGAGTACATATCCATTGATGACCAATCAATGCCTACTTTTACTCAAATGCTGAACTTTTAGGTATGGGACGTTTTTTATTTTGCTGAAACTTTGCGTTCGAAATAAAAGCTGTGCTTGAAACTATTGATGAACTGTTTCTGCATAGTTTTACGAGCTACGAGAATAAAATCATAGAATCTTAGCTTATTTTGAAATATGATCCTCACACAAGCACTGGAAAAACCCGATAGAATCATTATTGGTCTCCGTCTCATTAATAATCTCAAAGATGAACCTTTAAAGCTTCATTCTACCAAAGACCCTGTTCGTTCTCGGATGAGTTACATTGTTAATTGTTGGGTGAACTACCTGATTTCAAATTGCAATACTTGCGCGTCTTTGCAAGTGTAACTGTGTAATTATTGGAGTTAAATGTGTGAATAATTGTCGCTTATTGAAGTCTTCCCAGGAATCGTATTGTCACATACTTGCTAGAGCTCAAGCGATAATGCAGGTTTCTTTCAACTGATGTAATTTCAATTTATCACTTTAGCGACGAGAACCCAGAAGCTGCAGAACATCTTTGCGCAGGAATGTGCTTATTTTTATTGTAGGTAGGTACTACCTAACTAGATATCTAAGGCAGTTTATCACTGTAGGTATTGAGATGGTGAATTTCATTTGACTAAACACCTGCAAATACGGTCCAAAATTACACTGATTCTCATTCACTTTGACTCCGTACCCTGCAGACGGCAGTCTGAGCCCCGGATTCTCAGCTTAACGAAAAAGGCAATTGTCAATAAGAGCCCCGCTCGCCAGCGCGGCGGTCAAATGGAAATTGTGTCCGAAATGTGAACAGGATGTCGTTCTAAGTGGTCAGCCCCATTTCGGTGACTTTTAGCCAATTTGTCTCTCAAATGTCAGACTTCAAAGTCCCAATCAAAAACATTTTTCCAGCGTCTGTCATTGGAAAATGCCCTAGTGAATTCCTCCGGCGAAAACACTGCATTTACCGCGATGTCGTAGGTCGTAATCCCGAAATTGGCCGAACGCCGTCCGCCTCTGCCAGTGGTCAGACTTCTGGCCAGTCATTTTCTCACATCCCTCCCTCTCCCCACCTCCTCTAACAAGCTAATTACGTCGGGGGCCTCGGCCGCGCCGGCTCGGCCGCTGATTGGCCGGCGGCTGCCGGTGGGCGGAGCCTGCACGATGACGCGCAGCCGCCGGGTAATAGGCCAGCGTATGGGCGGCCGGCCGGAGCCGCCGCCAGATTTAGAGCTAGTTTGGGTCTCGCTCGCGGAGCAGTGGCAATTACTCGGGTTCGAGCAAGCCTCCCGGATCGGCGGCTGGTCACTAGGTCGTCTCAGCGCCGCTGTGCCACCGAGCAATCAGGAGCCGGTTGCGTGCGGACGGCCGCCGCCAATCACACCAATTACAGGTGTTTAATTGTATTTACTGAGCGGCTGGCGTGTGCGGCGCTACCACGCGCGCGCGCAGCGACCTGCTCTCGGCGGCCGGCCGGTGCTGGGGACAGTGAGTCGCGGACCGGCGCGGGACTGACTGGTGTCGCTGCTGCTGCTGCTGTTGCCGTTCGCACCGACCAGCGCGCTTCTCCGCAGTCGGCCGCCGCGGTCGGACGATGATGAACGTTCTCCAGCCGGATCGTATGTCTGTGGGGCCGCAGGGGCTGGCCGGCGGCGGCGGCGGCGGCCCGCTCGGCCCGGCCGGCCCGCCGCCGCTGCCGACTTTTCCGCAGCGCTCGCCGTTCGCCATCCAGGAGCTGCTGGGGCTGAACCAGGACCAGCGGTCGCCGGTGTCGATGGCGGCCAGCCTGCCGCCCCCGACGGTGCCCTACAGCCGGCCGCACTTCATGTCACAGGTCAGTAGAGCGGTCAGGACGTCCGTCCGCTTGCATGGAAGACGTGGAGACGGGGAGGAAAGGTTGGGACGGTTGGCTGTCGGAAATTCAGTTCAGCAGCCTCGAAGACTGTGCAAGCGGCATTTACGGCCGCAAGCGTTTTCTAGCTTCACTGGCTTATGAACGCCAAATATCTTGCTGTGAGGTGTACACTGTGCACACTGCACAGTGAGTATGTAGGGTTTGGAGGAAACAAAGAATAGCATTCTACTATGTCGTCATATTTCTCTACACTTATTTTGTTGTTGTTCAAGTCGAGTGAAAAATTAGTTTCTGCACTCATTCAATTTTAGTAAGGAAGTATTTGGTGTCAGGGGCCGAGCTTCCCATACTGTTGGTCGGACGACTGTCCCACCATCTTGTCATTTTGTCCCACAAATTGAGACGTTTTGCCCTATTAACGTTAGCACCTTTGCAGGACATTGCAAAAGCAATCTTTTTTTCGCATTGAGGATCTTTGCAATGCATGTTTATTGCGAAAGATTATCTTTACAATGAAAGGGATTGGTTCAGTCTAACATTTTATTCAGCCTGATTATCGGACATGCTGGTTGAGTAACTTTTTGCCCTACCAACTTCTCTGGTAGAGCTACACCTATGATTGATGCTGGTTGATATTAGCCGTTTTCACGACGGGCTATCCGGCGAATGCACCTGATTTGACCAAATCTGCACCTAATTTCTTTTACAGCAAATATCTTCATTTTATGAATTTATTTCAGTGTTTTAATCGATGATGCTCTCTGATAATATGACAAAGCAGGCATATAAGCAATTGGTGCAACCCTAGCTGATAGCTGCTAAGAGACACACTGAACCTGATTTGACCAAATCTGCACCTAATCTGCACCAGATGTGCACCAAATGTGTACCAGATGGCCGCGTGAAAACGGCTATTAGAATGCGTACTGCATGTGAATGCTACTCATATTGACTTCGTTTACTGGCGTAAATGGCCTTTAATTTTCAAGTAACATGGAACTCTTTTCTGTCTCTTTTTCAGTTCCGTAGGTTTACCGAAGTGGCCAAAGCCTATCACACACTGTACTCATAATTCAGCGTTTTTGAATCAAGGAATTACCTTTCAAGAACATACAATGCGGAATGGGACGTTCAAATTTAGTCTAGATATTTCTAAGACTTCATTTTATCTCATAACGACGTAAATACATGCTCATAGAAAAGATAACATTTTATAGCATAGGTAAGTACATGACAAAAGAACACCACATGTGTGCCTAATGTTTGATTAAGCAGGAGGTCGTCTTTCGAAAGCCTAAAGCGATTTTTATGCATGCTTCATGCGTGTGGCTTTCAGCGAGGAAAACCTAACATACAAACCTCAAGGAAAGGGACTAATGTTACCGAGATGACCCTCGACAAGAGGAGACAACGAATAAAGGCGAACGAAATGTGATGACGTTGAGCTGTAAACCAGATGCAGCCCTTGGACTTTTTTTGCACAGAAGGCCGCCGCCATGGTAACAGATCAAAATGACGCAAGATGACAAGCGCATTACAGAACGATGCATGGGCATTTAGAGGATATGCTGAACAATATGATTTATGAAAACAGTGCGCTTGTTTCCCTTGCGCAAAACAAAACGATTTGTTTTCCTTAGGGGCGGGAGTATCGATTTAAGTAAAAAGAATGATGAAACAAAATATTAGAAGATATCTATAAAAGTGTTGTAAAATATCATTTTTTCAGTCAAAGTTCAGAAAACACATCTATGAGGACTTCATTTTACGCTATGCTAATGCGCTTTTTCGATAAATTTACACATTGTACATTAGCAAGTTTTATTCCAACGATTACCGTGTCTGGTTCTGGCTGGTTCGCGAAAAAGAGATATAACATTTCTACCCAGAAACAAAATAAATTATGCTATATAATTGAAGATGCGTGACTGGTGACATCAGAAGTTACATCAATGTGATTTGATTTCTTTCCTCTCATATAGTGCTGCTCATTAGCAAACTTAGAACATATTATAGTCATTCGTATGTATATCACTTATTTTGCATCTGAATAAATAAATAAGTTGAGCTACCACCGTAAGCTCGACAAATATTTTAGTAAATGCTCAGTCGAATACCAACCAATATGTCGAAGTTTCATAGGTTATCCGAATATGAGTGTGATATTCATTCAAAAGAAAATTTTAATTTGCTTTTGATAGCAAAGATATATTTTCTAGATAAGTAACTTTTTGAAGATTGTGTGCAGCCTGCCAACGAAATCATTATGTTCTTCTGGCTCTGGTAAATTAATTGACAAGCATGCCGACACATGAGGTTGTGCTCAAACGTCAAATTACCACACTTGGCGTCAGAAATGGTCCACTTCAAAAGGTAATCATTTTAGCATTCTGTAACCGAGCATTCTGAAAAATGGCGAAAATCTAACAGAAGTAGGGTTGAGGCCAGCCTGGTAATTTCCATCAGCAGTGTGAACTGACGAATTATTGTCAGTAAATTCAGTTACAGGGACGCCTGGAGACATACCGCAGTTCCTAGAATGACACGTGCTTCCTCGTGAAAGGGACACAAGTGTCACGCGGCAGGGGACACACAACATGTGAGCAGTTCTCTCCTGTAACTCGATCCCGACCAAACTGACAACACACACACACTGAAAGTTCATCATTAAATAGCGCCGTTTTACATAATGACCAAGAGACTGCGTGAAGTGGTGCATTTGGTTATTTATTTAGTTATTTCTTTACAAATTGCGCACCTCAGTGCAGGATGCAACAACGTTAACCCTTACCAGTACAGTGTCAAATTACAAAATTCCGTGAACAAGCAATGCTGATTATAACGCAAGAGAAAACAACCAGCCGTTAGGATAACCAAGACTTAGAAAGGGGCTGGGCTAAGCAATATGACAATCTTTTAAATTCTGTCACTGACCACTTTTAGCGATGCACTCGTTATTCAATGTGTTCTTTCCAGCAAACTACAACTGCAAGGGATTGACGTATAAAAGAATAAAAGGATTGTTAATAATAGCCGTTTTCACGACGGGCTCTCCGGCGAATGCACCTGATTTGACCAATTCTGTACCTAATTTCTTTTACAGCAAATATCTTCATTTTATGAATTTATTTCAGTGTTTTAATCGATGATGCTCTCTGATAATATGACAAAGCAGGCATATAGGCAATTAGTGCAACCCTAGCTGATAGCTACTAAGAGACACACTGAACCTGATTTGACCAAATCTGCACCTAATCTGTACCAGATGTGCACCAAATGTGTACCAGATGGCCGTCGTGAAAACGGCTAATATAATGGCACGCCTTTGCTCTATTCGTGCGACATCGAGCTAATTATGCTGCAAAATGGGATCATCGATTATATAGCAGTTACAGAGAGTATCTCTCCATGGACTATTCGAGCATTATTGTTGATAGGTGCGTGATTGCTTGTCATTATGTGCAGCTTCACATGTAGTAGGGGCACCGTGCATGTGCTGAGATCTAGCACTCATGGCAATGATGCCTCGAATCGGACTTGACAATGGTATCTTCCAATCGATGCTTGAGATGATGCGTAAATCGAGCCGTGTTATTTAGGCATTTATTTTTTACTTGCCAGTGTTCACAGTAGGCCGGTAAGGGCACACGGAGAAGAAATGAAAAGAAATGGTTGTTAGCTTACAGCTCTAAAATATAATGACCAAACATAAGCGACGAGTGAGTCAATGTACTTGGAATAACTGTAGGCTAACATTGGCTAACATTATCCCAGAGTTTTGCACAACACTAAGGGCAATGGACGATCACTGGTAGGCCTCAAGTTACATGTTTGAGCCACGTTTCCCAATTAATGAATCAACGCTACAATGGGACATTCCCAAATGCGGTAGACATCCTCAGAAATGGGCGTTTGTTGTGTGTATAGGTGATATCGCAGAACACAGAACACAGGATCTGCCTGACCTTTGAACTGCAACAAAACCGCTACCTTACTCTGTGAAGAAACGATTGACAATTAGACTAATTGTATTGTAGCGAGAAGTCCAGCAAATGTCAAAGCCCTGATGAACCGCACTGGTCACTTGGGGATCGTGGTGGAATGGACGGTTGTGTTTGCTCCATCGGGTCAATGCCGACACTTACGAGTGCTGTATCAGTGAATCGATTGCTGGCAGGGGAGCTAAAACACTGTAAGCATAAGAATAAATCATGATAACCTGTTAATTAAGTTATACTCCTGACACACCCCTGATACCCTCTTCCTCCACAGCCGAGTTTCGACCAGCTCAACTCGATGGCTACGTCCCGCATGTATCAGGCGGCGGCGGCGGCGGCCGCTGGCTTCCTGCCCTCAGTCAGCATGGCTGCCGGGGTGCCCGGTGGCCATGCGCCCACATTTGGCGGCTTCGACCCGCTGCGGTCCATGGAACAGCACACCGCGCAAGGTGAGACCTCGGCGAGACGCTGGGGAGGCACGTGGGAGACTCAGGGGAGATGGGAGATGTGAAGAGTGTGGGGAGATGTTTGGGATCTGAAGGGCAATGCTAAATGGTGTGGGGAAATGCGATGTGGGGTTTCGGGAGTTTTGGAGGCGTGTGCCACTGTGGGGAATGGGGACTTCGGACGATGCAGAAATACCAATTTATGCCACTGAAGTTTTCGCAACTACCCCCAGTCATTTGAGCAAACAGCTCTCGAACTTGCTGAGTTAATAATCAACCTGGATTCATCGAAATGTTTGTTTCCCTGACAGGTCTACTTCAGGGGAAATGCGATAACTGCATCTTGCTATTTATTAGGTGAAATGGCTAAGCCACGGGAAGTCCTTATTTCTTATTGCAGTCCGTGATTCCCAGATGAGGAGATGGGGAATGCCTCTGTTGGGAACTCCTGCTTTATAGCTACGAAGTGAGTTTGGTATTTACGAATTCGAATACATTGGTAAACGTCATTTACATCACCATATCCTATGCCTATCACGCATGAAACATTATTGATAAAGTCATTAATAAATTGTGATGGAAATCAGATTTACATGCAAATTTCAACAGCAAAATGAAGTGAATAACAGTAAAAGCCATTTACACATTCTGCTATGCAGTGCCTCCTTCTCTGGACCATAATTACCAACTCGCGGCCATGCGCCGTCAGCTAACACCTCCCTGTCGTGACTGCCGGCTTGTCATCGGCTGCTTATCACAACACAAACACCGCTCGTGGCGTCACAGGTGCCTGCTATCCTTCTCTTAGCTGCGGTCGAGCTCATCATCGTGCCATCTCGTGGATTTGGCCCCCACCGCTGACTGGACATAACACCGGCAGTAATCCCCATCTTTGATCCATCCGCGCTACTTAGCATGTTGTGTTGAAGACCAGCAGTGTGGAGAGACGTTTTGAGGGTGAATTTATTAAGGCTGGGGAAGAGTGAGATGTGGTGATATCATTGGAAGCAAGCTCGGTGGATTCCGTTGCAGACGGTTATGCAATGTCGTGTGCATATCCGATTTCCCGTGTTTTTGCCGTATAGGTATAATGCCGACACATTGGCACTTTGTGACGGAACCAATCTTGGGTGCTGTGTTACGTGAACCAATGCAGTTATGCAAGTGATCATGAAAAAGAGTTGAATTTGTTTCTTTAATGAGAACAGGTGATAGCGTTATCATATAATCAGCGAAATATCATTGATTCTTAGCTACCTTCTACATCAGACAAATGTTCCTTTGTGCGCATGTTTTTTATTATGATGCGCATGCCAATAATAACCAGCCTTTGACTTTCACCCATGTGGTGGTAAGGTAGTCTTCATTCCTCCCTCCCTTCTAAAGCTGCCCCGAGAGGCTACCGCCCCACTGATCCCTCGAGCTCACCCCCGCCCTTCCGTCTGCGTCTGACCAGCGCCGGGCACCGCGGCAGCACCAATAAAAACGTCCCCGTAATGGAAACATGCAACACGTCAGAGAGCGCCGGTCGGACTCTCTCGCGTGCCGACCCTCCCCGGGCCGGCCCTCCCCCGAAATCCGGCCCGTCACCTGGAGGCGCGTAATTATTTTGTTTCGATCGATCGAATCCTAGCACGCAACACAACCTCCAGCGGCGGCGCGCCCCGGCCGTTAGAGTTGCGGAGTTCATTGTGAGCGATGAACTAAATGCGGACTGACCGAGTTCATCACCTCTGCGGGTGGACGGTCTGATTTTTTTACGGTCTATGGGTGCCATCTGAGCGCGGAGCGTTTGAGTTAAAACTCGATCAGCGTATCGTCTGAGCTTACCCATGATCGACGGACCATTGAGTTTACAGTGTTTAGCAGCATGGTGGGTCGTACTTACATACGTACCTACTACCTATTAACCTTTGAAAGCCGTTTGACCTCTCAATACATGATGAGTGGAACCTGCAGGGCTTAAATGAGCGAAGGTGTTCAGTCTAGATTGGGTAAGGCTATAAGCCGATGGCTGACTTTGACCAACGAACCGAGCAAAACTAGCCAATCTCAGCTGCCAATCTGAAGCTACAAAGCCAATCTGAGGCAGATGGTTGGTCAGAATACAGACTCAATATCGAAACCACTCGAGCTGAAATTAACACATTAAGATTTCCACCCAGTCTGCAAGCTGCAATATTGCACTGTTCGCGTTGCAAAATCAGCTTTCAATGGTAATTACGCTTTCAGCGAGCACGGCTCATCCCTTGAGCTGCATAGTCAGAAAGATTGCGTGATCAGCGGGATTGGTCTGCCGACTGCCTCATTTGGGCAGATGCACTTAGCGTGAGGCTCATGGCAGCTGAGCCGCGTGTGGTTTTCCTCAATACCGCTGAACCCCGGGCGGCGGACGAAACTGAGAGTTTGTGGCGGCATCCGAGGCTGCCCGGTCAGACTGCCAGTTCCCACATCCTTCGGCTCATTGCACTGATCTGATAAATAGAGGAAAACGGCGCACATTTGCGATGTGTTTCCGGGATCGCCATTAAATCTGGAGCATTGTGATACATAAAATCGAAAGCACAGTGTAAACCTGTTGAACAAACCCCCACCGGAAGCATTCACCCATTTCACTCAACTTTATGTAAGTGTGTGGTCGCTTAAATTCTGATTGTCCATCATTAAATATATTTTTCGTCTGTATTACACCAAAAATCCAACATAATCTCCCACCACATTATGCCAATATAGCAGATTAGCCAGCTGTCAGCGCCTTCCTGGTCAGCCGTTCCTGATCCTGCTGCCAGCGATTTCGGAACCAGCTGTCGAACACCCGACATCAGTCCCCCAGTCAGCCAACCCTATTTAGGCCGAGGTGGAGCGGCCTCGCAGCGCTCGACACGCCAAACCAGGATTACCTACGCCGCGTCGGGTCGAAACTCCGAAAGGCAATTTTCTCGAGCATGTAAATCCGGGCCGCTAATGCCTTGTTAAAGACTGGCCGGCCACCTGGTGGGTAATGCAGCGCAGCTAAGCGGATGCTGCAGTGCTGCACATACGAGAGCGAGTTCCGAGAAGCTGACGATGCACTGGCTCCGAGGGCGAGCGGGAGGGGCGAGTTGAGTCGGCGGGTTGGGTCGGCGGGCTGGGTCGGGAGGCTGGGTCGGCTAGCTGGGTCGGAGAGCGAGAGAAGCGAGCTGAGTGGGAGAGTTGGGTGGCAGAGCTGGGTCGCCCGGGTCGGAGAGTCGAGTCGGCGAGCTGGGTCGGCGAGCGGGAGAGTCGAGCGGGAGATGCGATGCTTCCTGGCGAGTGAGAAAGCGAGCAAGGAGAGGCACGCTGGGCTGGTAAGTGAAGACAGATGAGCAGGAAAAGCGAGTTCATACAGCGAGCGAGGAGAAGCAAGCAGGAGAAGCGATCGAGAGAGGCGAGCGGGCATCGGCTAGAGTTGGCGAGCAGGGAGAGGCAAGCTCGTCCGGCGAGCGGGGAGAGCCGGGTGGAGCTGTCAGAGACTCACCAGCTCACCGACGCGTCTACTGCCGCTCGCAGAGAGTCGCAAGTGGCCTTTGTGGCTGGATCAGCGGCTGGACTCGGAATTGCCACTCCAAACTGTCAGCCAGTCAGGGACGGATGCCGACGGCGGTGAATCAGCGAATTTACCGCGACGTGAGGCCCCGAGAAGCAAACCTGCTAACTTCTGTTTAGCGTGCAAAACTGAACATGTTAAAGTTCATTCAAGGCTGATGGTATCTCACCATGTGAACAGCTCTGTGTTATTCGCGAGCTATCTTCACTGAAGCTCAACTTGCATGTCACGAAGTTACGATGCAAATTGAAGCGGTAACAAGCTGTTGCACAGTTTAAGTTCTCATTAAAAATCCACTTCTGGTCCCAACAAAAACAGCTCGAACGCTCAATGAGACCTCTCACAGGTCTCTGATCACGGCTGCGTGCACGTGTACCGATTGCGTGAACGGTAAACTGCTCTGCTATCCAGGCTATCAGGGGGTCAGAGCGGCGCTGACTGGAGCTCAAGGTAATCCAGGCGCGCGCAGACTGCTGCCGCGGCTGACAGGGCGGCGGCGGATCTGCTGGGGCGGCGGCCTGCTCGGCTCAGGGAGGGACTCGGTCGAGCCGTTGATCGGCTGATCAGCCTCCGACTGATCCCGTTCAGAGCTCTCCACGAGCTGCACTCGCCCACACAGAGGGCGTTAACCGCTGAGGTGTGTGGAGGTAACCGCAGGCGTGAGTGGGGGACTGAGTGCATTGCACAGTGCACACGGAGAAAAGGTGTGCTGGTATAATTGTGATGCTCATGTCATCAACCGCTGGTATGCACTGGCGCCTGGTGGATGTGATTACTGGACACGTACTAAATTAATCTCTGTGTAAAACAACATACTTACCAGTTACCAGTACAAGAGATGGATTAATGCAGATTAGCCGCTGAGAAGAATGGCCGTTTTTAAAACAACAGTAGCAGCTGTGAGGCAAAGACTTCATGCACTCCGTGACCGGAACTGGGTGGGACTCCCTGTCTCTGACTCAGCCTCTGGCTGACTCAGTCCGCGCGGACTGCAGAGGGCGGTGACTGAACAAGCAGGCAGCAGTGCGGCGGTGGCGGCGGGCCGCGGAGCTTGCGTGCAGCTCGAGCGTCGTGCCGACCGGGTAATTGCTCGTGCCACCGCCCCTGAACGCCAATTATCAGCTTTGTGGAATCCGGCGCGGCGCTGGCTTTAAACTGAGCGCCGCGGCGAGTCAGTCTGGTTTCCTATCGGGTCGACCCAGTCGTGTTACACAAAGCTGGTCGATAAGTCGCTCTGGGCCTCAGCACCTGGCATGGCCCGAATCAGCCAGAGGACAAGTGACTCAGTTTAACATCCCCGAGTCATTGTGGAGTCGTGGACTTCCGTGAGACTGAAATTGACAGGACAGGATTTGTCGAAAACGCAAAAATCATCTTATCGATTCACAGGAACAGTTAAGCTCATGACCAAAAGCACCAGGAGTTCCGCTTACGTTGC